ATCGCTATACTTTACTGAATAACCAATAACTGTAACTAATTAAAGCCCATTAAGATAAAAGAATTGTAAAAATTCGATACAACTGAACACCGAACGATCCTCCAGAACGTTTTTGCGTTGTAATTTTTTGGCCCAATCGCTAAAAACAATAGCAGCATTTCTTGTATCCTTAAGAACACAAATACATACCAATTAAAAGCGATCGGACGATTCTAAAGAAAGTTATCGTGCACACGGACAGAAGGACAGACAGACCGCGATACAAAATTGCAAGCGATATCGAGGTTCATTACCTAATAACTAAAAATTTTTTGATGATTGTGTGACAGTTTATGCATTTTCTCTGTGCAGCTTCTAATTTTTTATGTTACTTTCAGATTTAACATTCCTTTATTTGAATGGTCACAAACTGAAGGAAAACTCAATTGGGACAGGACGTACGTGAAAAATTCTTGGCTTTTTCCCTGTGGTGAATAAACAAATAAAGTTAATTTTGGCACTACTGCATTATTTATGTGACAAATTATGCATTTTCCCTATGCAGATTCTAATGTTCTATTTTACTTGCAGATTTAACATTCCCCTACTAGAATGGTAACAAACTGAAGGAAAATTCAATTGGGACAGGACGTACGTGGGAAATTCTTGCTTTTTCCATGTGGCGAAGAACCAAATAAAATTTAATTTTGTCGCTACTGCATTTCTCGTGGGACAGATTATGCATTTTCCCTATGCAGTTTCTAATTTTCTATTTTACTTGCAGATTTAACATTCCCCTACTTGAATGGTAACAAACTGAAGGAAAATTCAATTGGGACAGGACGTGCGTGGGAAATTCTTGCTTTTTCCATGTGGTGAAGAAACAAATAAATTTAATTTTGTCGCTACTGCATTTCTCGTGTGACAGATTATGCATTTTCCCTATGCAGTTTCTTATTTTCTATTTTACTTGCAGATTTAACATTCCCCTACTTGAATGGTAACAAACTGAAGGAAAATTCAATTGGGACAGGACGTACGTGGGAAATTCTTGCTTTTTCCATGTGGTGAAGAAACAAATAAATTTAATTTTGTCGCTACTGCATTTCTCGTGGGACAGATTATGCATTTTCCCTATGCAGCTTCTAATTTTCTATTTTACTTGCAGATTTAACATTCCCTTACTTGAATGGTAACAAACTTAAAGAAAACGCAATTGGGACAGGACGTACCTGAAAAATTCTTGCTTTTTCCATTCGGCGAAGAAACAAATAAATTTAATTTTGTCGCTACTGCATTTCTCGTGGGACAGATTATGCATTTTCTCTATGCAGCTTCTAATTTTCTATTTTACTTTCAGATTTAACATTCCCCTACTAGAATGGTAACAAACTGAAGGAAAATTCAATTGGGACAGGACGTACGTGGGAAATTCTTGCTTTTTCCATGTGGCGAAGAACCAAATATAGTTAACTTTGGCGCAACTGCATTATTTATGTGACAAATTATGCATTTTCCCTATGCAGCTTCTAATTTTCTATTTTACTTGCAGATTTAACATTCCCCTACTAGAATGGTAACAAACTGAAGGAAAATTCAATTGGGACAGGACGTACGTGGGAAATTCTTGCTTTTTCCATGTGGTGAAGAACCAAATAAATTTAAGTTTGTCGCTACTGCATTTCTCGTGGGACAGATTATGCATTTTCCCTATGCAGCTTCTAATTTTCTATTTTACTTGCAGATTTAACATTCCCTTACTTGAATGGTAACAAACTGAAGGAAAATTCAATTGGGACAGGACGTACGTGGGAAATTGTTGCTTTTTCCATGTGGTGAAGAAACAAATAAATTTAAGTTTGTCGCTACTGCATTTCTCGTGTGACAGATTATGCATTTTCCCTATGCAGTTTCTTATTTTCTATTTTACTTGCAGATTTAACATTCCCCTACTTGAGTGGTAACAAACTGAAGGAAAATTCAATTGGGACAGGACGTACGTGGGAAAATTTTTGCTTTTTCCATGTGGCGAAGAACCAAATAAATTTAATTTTGTCGCTACTGCATTTCTCGTGGGACAGATTATGCATTTTCCCTATGCAGTTTCTAATTTTCTATTTTACTTGCAGATTTAACATTCCCCTACTTGAATGGTAACAAACTGAAGAAAAATTCAATTGGGACAGGACGAACGTGGGAAATTGTTGCTTTTTCCATGTGGTGAAGAAACAAATAAATTTAAGTTTGTCGCTACTACATTTCTCGTGTGACAGATTATGCATTTTCCCTATGCAGTTTCTAATTTTCTATTTTACTTGCAGATTTAACATTCCCCTACTAGAATGGTAACAAACTGAAGGAAAATTCAATTGGGACAGGACGTACGTGGGAAATTCTTGCTTTTTCCATGTGGTGAAGAAACAAATAAATTTAATTTTGGCGCTACTGAATTATTTATGTGACAGATTATGCATTTTTCCTATGCAGTTTCTAAATTTTCTATTTTACTTTCAGATTTAGCTTTCCCCTGCTTGCATGGTCACATACTGAGAGAAAACGCAACAGGGGTAGGACGTATGTGGGAAATTCTCGCTTTTACCCTGGGGTTACGAAATAAATAAATTTAATTTTGGCGCTACTGAATTATTTATGTGACAGATTATGCATTTTCCCTATGCAGTTTCTAATTTTCTATTTTACTTGCAAATTTAACATTCCCCTACTTGAATGGTAACAAACTGAAGGAAAAATCAATTGGGACAGGACGTACGTGAAAAATTCTTGGCTTTTACCCTGTGGTGAACAAACAAATAAAGTTAACTTTGGCGCTACTGCATTATTTATGTGACAAATTATACATTTTTCCTATGCAGTTTCTAATTTTCTATTTTACTTGCAGATTTAACATTCCCCTACTTGAATGGTAACAAACTGAAGAAAAATTCAATTGGGACAGGACGTGCGTGGGAAATTCTTGCTTTTTCCATGTGGTGAAGAAACAAATAAATTTAATTTTGTCGCTACTGCATTTCTTGTGTGACATATTATGCATTTTCCCTATGCAGTTTCTTATTTTCTATTTTACTTGCAGATTTAACATTCCCCTACTTGAGTGGTAACAAACTGAAGGAAAATTCAATTGGGACAGGACGTACGTGGGAAATTCTTGCTGTATCCATGTGGCGAAGAACCAAATAAATTTAATTTTGTCGCTACTGCATTTCTCGTGTGACAGATTATGCATTTTCCCTATGCAGTTTCTAATTTTCTATTTTACTTGCAGATTTAACATTCCCCTACTTGAATGGTAACAAACTGAAGGAAAATTCAATTGGGAGAGGACGTACGTGAAAAATTCTTGACTTCTTCCCTGTGGCGAAGAAACAAATAAATATAATTTTGTCGCCACTGCATTTCTCGTGTGACAGATTAGGCATTTTCCCTATGCAGTTTCTAATTTTCTATTTTACTTGCAGATTTAACATTCCCCTACTTGAATGGTAACAAACTGAAGAAAATTCAATTGGGACAGGACGTACGTGGGAAATTCTTGCTTTTTCCATGTGGCGAAGAACCAAATAAATTTAATTTTGTCGCTACTGCATTTCTCGTGTGACAGATTATGCATTTTCCCTATGCAGTTTCTAATTTTCTATTTTACTTGCAGATTTAACATTCCCCTACTTGAATGGTAACAAACTGAAGGAAAATTCAATTGGGACAGGACGTACGTGGGAAATTCTTGCTTTTTCCATGTGGCGAAGAACCAAATAAATTTAATTTGGCGCTACTGCATTATTTATGTGACAAATTATGCATTTTCCCTATGCAGCTTCTAATTTTCTATTTTACTTGCAGATTTAACATTCCCCTACTAGAATGGTAACAAACTGAAGGAAAATTCAATTGGGACAGGACGTGCGTGGGAAATTCTTGGCTTTTTCCATATGCTGAAGAAACAAATACATCTAATTTTGTCGCTACTGCATTTCTCGTGTGACAGATTATGCATTTTCCCTATGCAGTTTCTAATTTTCTATTTTACTTGCAGATTTAACATTCCCCTACTTGAATGGTAACAAACTGAAGGAAAATTCAATTGGGACAGGACGTACGTGGAAAATTCTTGCTTTTTCCATGTGGTGAAGAAATAAATAAATTTAATTTTGGCGCTACTGAATTATTTATGTGACAGATTATGCATTTTCCCTATGCAGTTTCTAATTTTCTATTTTACTTGCAGATTTAACATTCCCCTACTTGAATGGTAACAAACTGAAGGAAAATTCAATTGGGACAGGACGTGCGTGGGAAATTCTTGCTTTTTCCATGTGGTGAAGAAACAAATAAATTTAATTTTGTCGCTACTGCATTTCTTGTGTGACATATTATGCATTTTCCCTATGCAGTTTCTTATTTTCTATTTTACTTGCAGATTTAACATTCCCCTACTTGAGTGGTAACAAACTGAAGGAAAATTCAATTGGGACAGGACGTACGTGGGAAATTCTTGCTTTTTCCATGTGGTGAAGAAATAAATAAATTTAATTTTGTCGCTACTGCATTTCTCGTGCGACAGATTATGCATTTTCCCTATGCAGTTTCTAATTTTCTATTTTACTTGCAGATTTAACATTCCCCTACTTGAATGGTAACAAACTGAAGGAAAATTCAATTGGGAGAGGACGTACGTGAAAAATTCTTGACTTCTTCCCTGTGGCGAAGAAACAAATAAATTTAATTTTGTCGCTACTGCATTTCTCGTGTGACAGATTATGCATTTTCCCTATGCAGTTTCTAATTTTCTATTTTACTTCCAGATTTAACATTCACCTGCTTGAATGGTCGCGGACTGTGGGAAAACGCAAAGCAGGGTGTACGTGAGAAATTCTCACTTTTTTCCTGTGGCGGTGAGATAAAAAAAATTTTGGCGCTACTGCTTTTCTTGTGTGACAGATTGTGCATTTACCTAACCCCTAAAGTTTCTAATTCTTTCTTTTACTTTCAGATTTCTCAATGACCTGCTTGAATGGTCACGAAGAAAAGGGTCAGGATGTACGTCAAGAAATTCTTTGTTTTTCCCTGTGAAGGTAAGTTAAAAAAGTCTAGTTTTGGCACTATTGCATTTTCGTGTAGATTCTTTATTTTTCTCCCTGCAACTTCTAATTTTTTATTTCAATTGCGGATTTAAATTCACCGGCTTGCATTTTTACGAACTGATGGTAGAATGTACGTGAAAGTGTCTTATTTGTTTCCCATGCTGGTAAGATCTAATACTTACTCGTAGTTATTTATACGCAACGAGAGAAGAAAGTGCAGTTTTTAAACTTTTGTTCGCTATGCTCATGTGTCAATTGATCATGAGTTGAAAAACGCTTTCTTCTCAAGTTTTACACATAATTTTTTCAGAAAAACTACAATAAAAATTGCAAAATTGTCGTACGCAATATTGAAGTTAGTTACATAGCAATCTAGATAGGGCCATGTTTCAATTTTAAATGTCATTACCTATTGAGATTAACGCAGCAATTGTTTTTTTAGTTTCCTCACTAGAGAGGAAAATTTCATTTTCTTTACCCTTTCTAAAGACGAATGTAGTTGTTTCTAAATTAGTTTCAGAAAAAATATATTTTTAAGTCACTTAATTTTTTATGTTACGTATTTTGTATTTTTCTCCTTACAATTACTAATTTTTCTTTTTTCTCTAATGCAGATTTGACATGTATCGCTGTATTGGGTCTGAGGGAGGTCGTAAATGGATGGAGTAGGATTAATGTGAGTTAATGTTACTTTTTTCGGTGGTGGTGAGAAATTTATTCTTGATGCCATATTTTTGCGTTTTGTAACTGGTTATGTGCTTTACTTTTCTAACTTTTGAACTGTTGGAAGTGAAACAGATCAGTATTTTATAATCTCTGAATTTGGGCTTCTTTGTAGCCCTTAACTTCTCAAACTTTATTTTACACAAGTTTCAAGCTTTACAACGTGGAATAATAAAAATTTTTGCATTACGAAGGTATGGATGGAGTCCCAATCTGATTAAAAGATTGGCTTGTACAATCCAAGGAACGCTAATTTTCTCTAGTATAGGGTGTTTAATGCGCAATGGTAAAACTTTACAACGATTTGGAGTTTCCTGAAACTTCGAGATATAATTTCGTGATTTTATATCCTACTTATACATTACTTGAAAACTAAAGTTCTGTACAAATGGTACAAATTATTGGAAAATTAGTAGAAGGTGGTAAAAGGTATGTGTATAAATCTGAACGCTTGGGGTTGCAGCAGTTCTTGAAGTTAAATATGTACAGTGTATTTAATTGTACAAGAGGTAGAAAGATTGATATTAACAACATGGGGAAATGGTATAGTGGTTCCTGCTTTGTCAACTTTAATGAGTGTTATTGATTTTCGAAGATCGGACCAATTGCAACAATTGAACATTATTCCGATTAGGTATCCATTAGGAAAAGTAAACCGAAAATACATGTCACAATCACCTACCAATAAGTTCATTTCGTCTGAACGAGGCAAATTAAAATTTAATATAGTTTTAAACGCCCTCCGAATTCAAGTCTGAGAAGCAGCGCTAAAAGTTAGTCTGTAATAACGCAAACTTGAGCACAATGGAGGAAATGTGGGGAAATGTATACGAGCGTCGGGCTGCATTGTACTATTCATGTTTGGACGTTATGTGTGCAATAGCGAATGTCATGCGGTGCAATTTCGTTAATAATTCCCACAAACTTATCTTAGTGAATTAGATTATAGTTTCAGCGTCGAGACCGGGGGGAGTAATAAGATTAAAGATTTCTTATCACATTGTTAAACGTTCATTATTCAAGCTTATACTGCATTGCAGATATGTATGGATTGTACTTTGTGTACAACTTACGTATGGGGTGGTAGCAAGCTAGTAGTATGTTTGTGTGGAAATACGAAAAGTTAGTACCGTTAGTTTTCTGAAATACAGCTGCTTTACAAGTTCTAGAAGTTTAAAAGTTTGCTTGTTTTTAAGTTGTTGAAATTCTTTGAAAGCTTTAGCGTTTGCAATAATCTATAAACTGCAATTGTATTTCGAATCTTCGCCCAATCTCATAAAATGACAAATAATGAAGACTCGGGAAACTTTTCCATATTTCATATTTATCCCTAACTCGCGTCATTCATTTTCTATATACACGTTGGCGTGTCACATAATGTCAACTTCGAACAAATAAACTTTTCCCATACAGTCTCTGGCAGTCACTTGCAGGATAATGTAATATTATGACATCACCAGATGGGCCCACGGTTCGGACATCTACAGGACGTCATGCACATCTGACGATATCTCCTGAATGCGATATGAACAATTCCTACATATTGTCACAAACAAATAGCGAAGTCTCGAAATTCAATTCTGTTTGTCCAAATAAAATAAATCCGGTCGCAATTTGGTGAATATTGTATTAAACGTTATATGAGGTCGAGCACATTGCGAAGATCTATTTTGTGGCTATTAAACCAAATAAAATTTTTAGTAGTTTCAAGGGTTAGGTTTCCGTTTTACGTCATATTCGCCTTTAATGCTTTAGGAGTTTAACGTCTTCGCAAATTTTCGACTTCATAATGAGAGTGATGGTTATAAAAAAGCATATTATATGTATACAGTGAAGATTCACATACCTATAGGGTGTTTATATCTGTAAGACAACGCGATTTTGAAAAATTATCCAAAATCCGTGAAACTTTAAGCTGAAAGTAATCTGCAAAACCTTCAAATTTATGGCCGCCCTTAGATTTTGAATGTGTATAACATCGAAAGGAAATACTCGTACATTTGCAAAATGTTTATGTCCCATTGTCAAACTCTGTCCTCTCGAACTTTTTTGTCTAATGAGAGATCTCTGTACATTCCAATACATCGAACCCGAACAGTGCTCAACCTGCGTGAAGACAGCAACTAAAGATAGCGACCGTTTCCCGGAAGATGCCCGAATACCACAGAAATACGAAAAAAATGTAGATTGCGTCCACCTTTACAAACAAGCAATACGCGGGTAGTTGTCACTTATCACTTTCTAGTTTTGCGATTTATAAACACATTGGGGGTGGATTTCTATGTGACGCAAGGGGTTACAAGAAATTATTTTTGCATTTGTTTATTGGATATGTATAGCAGTATTTTTCTGCACAAACTAAAAGTGATAACTACCCGCGTTTTGCCGTATTCGATTTATAAACACATTGGGGGTGGATTTCTATGTGACGCAAGGGGTTGCAAGAAATTATTTTTGCATTTGTTTATTGGATATGTATAGCAGTATTTTTCTGCACAAACTAGAAAGTGATAACTACCCGCGTTTTGCCGTATTCGATTTATAAACACATTGGGGGTGGATTTCTATGTGACGCAAGGGGTTGCAAGAAATTATTTTTGCATTTGTTTATTGGATATGTATAGCAGTATTTTTCTGCACAAACTAGAAAGTGATAACTACCCGCGTTTTGCCGTATTCGATTTATAAACACATTGGGGGTGGATTTACCCAAAACGGTTACAGTAGGTACCTATTCTTTGGTGCTCGTTCTTTACATTTATACAGCCTGATTCAAATTCGAGGGCAACCATGGGGTTCTCGGAAACACTGTAAGAGATAGGTAGTTAGTTTAAATGTGTCAAAGTTGCGATGATGCTTAACATAATTCCGTTTTGAGACTGAAACAATTCCGACTACTTTTGGATATCCTGAAAAGATCGAAATTTTGAAAAATCGTTTTTATTTTTTACCGAAATTATTTAAAAATATATTTCAAAATAAATGATACATTATTATGGCCACTTTTTCCCCTCTACAGTCTACAACATGCTAGTTTTAAATTTTAAGTCTGACGTTTCGTCTTCATCCATCATCGACTTTGTTTTTTCGTATGGAAGTCATGTTTACTTTTTGTATCATTTGATAGAGTATTTTTTTCTAATAATTTAGTCAGGGTAACTTTTTTTTGCAAGTTTATGACCTCCCCCACTCCCTCACGTCACGCTTCGGTATATCGTCAGATTATTGAAATGCACACTTTTCAACACGTAGTTAACCCACTTTACTTGAATCCGACACGCTCGAGTAAACCCAAAACACTCTATTTGGCATTCACTTAGCCCCCACAAAACATGTTCTAAACCAAAAAGGCACAGAACGTGAACATAATAGTGATAACAGCTGTATATACAATGATAGTCATTTAGAAGTAGATTTGTGTCTTGTGTGTATTGTTTTCCCTCTCTATCTACTTTTATTAAATGATCAATATTCATCTGAAGCACCCCCAGTTTTATGCAGCCAAAATAACTTCTTAAAACAAATGAAGACCTGGCTGTCATGACTTGAAACTTTGACAGTAGGTAGGGAATCTCCTAAGGATCAAAATGTATATTATGCTAAAGGGTACTTTTACCCTGCGGGGTGGTTGGCACCCCATCTCTGAGATGGAATTGTTTATTAGAATTTGATTACAGCAATAGATAGAAAAAATCATTTTAATCACAAAGTGCTCTATAATTTTGTTTATAAATAAAAACTGCATTTCATAATAAAAACTGTGGAGAACAAAATTGTAGCTTAAAAAGATTTTTTTATTAATTGCTGTATGACCAATACGAACCGAGCTATATGGATCGGTAAATGTTAGGTCCTGTTCGTCAAATGTTAAATTCACTATGAACATTCAAAATTACGAGTTCTAACAAAAATTATAATAATTTTCCAAAGGAACCGTCACAGAGTTTCAAAGTCAAATAATTGGAAAACTGTGCATTTTTTGAGATACACTTATATTAAGTATTAAAAAAAATCTTTCTTCTTTTAGAAAAAGTATTGGCCATAAATATTGAACGAGTTATGGTGAAAATAAGATCGATCCGTATCTTTTTCAAGGAAAACAAACCCTTAATTACCACCCTAACTATAATTTCGTTACCCATTTTCAGTTCTCTTTATTTATGTACTTCTGGTTTGACCAGTTTAGAATACTTAACGTAATTTTGAAATAATTTGAGCTAAAAATGTAAAACGAATTTCTGCAATTTTGTGAAAAATATTCTTCTCTTTCACATCATAATTCCAAAATGAACTGGAGGTTCGTAAAAAATGGCACAGTATAAAATTGTAGATTTTTTTAATTCCAAAATTTTCTGTACGACAAACTAAGTGAGATATAAACGTTTAAAACGAACACTACGTTGTTTAAGCTCAACCCTTTTTGAAACTAAAAGTTTTAAAGGGATTTAATGTAAATAACCTTATATCTTTTGTAAAAGACTACAAAATGGTTTTTAATGTAGTTTCTATCTTCAAAAATAAAGTGATTCAAAAACAATCACAAATTTTTATCGAATAATTCTAAAAGGGCAAATAGAACATTGCATTGCATTGCAATAAGGGGTGGTTTTTAAGGTTTAAAAAGTACAAAATTAAATTACTAATATTATAAGCAATAACATTTTTAAATCAAAACGCTGTGACAAATTATTAATTGTTTGAAGGTAAATACATTTTTTTTATTAAATTACAATAGGGGCTGATTTTTAAGGGTTGAACTATCCTGAAATAATGTTACGAATCATGAAACAATCATTACTCCGCTCATCTGAACCAAATTTCACTTACCCTAAGCTTTAAATGATAGTTTTTTGGGAATAGTTGTAGGTTTTGGAGATTTTCAACTGGAAGTTCGGAAAAAAACCATCAATAATTCTAAAATTCCTGAATCCTGATTATATCATTAAAGAAATT